GGATTAACATCTGATCTTCGGATTTTAGTGCCTTTACCCCTGTGCCACACTTCTTTTCAAGCCCTAGCTTCATTGGCAGTGGACAGAGACATGCACATTGAACTGACCGGATTTCTCCAAACTGTTGTGCCTGGTTTCTTTCGCTGATAGTTGAAGGCTAGTGTTTTAGGAGGAGGAGCCTTCCTCAGTATGGACAGACTGCTTTTTTGCTGAGTTATAAACACCTGTGTGCCTGGGCAGACTGATCTTCTATCAAAGAAGAAAGCAGCAGTCAGAGAGATGAGTTAACTTGAGAAGGCAGAAACCTTCTGCTTGGCAAAGTGATAACTAAGGCAGGGCATGATATCAGTTCACAAATATTTTGAGAGATGGAAACACCAAAAAGGGAGAGGAATTATTTTGCCTGGTTACTAGGAGGAATTGGAGGAAATACAGGAAAAGGAAATTTGAGCCCAAATATCAGGGAGAAATTCCTGAGGGTGAGAACTGGTGAGCTGTGGGTCAGAATGAAAGTTCTGCTCTCTTGGACACTCAGACCAAGGTGGGTTTGTGGGCAGCAGAAATAGAGGGTGATTTATTCATAGGGAGACATTTACTCCCGGCAGAGGTGACCTCAGGCTTCTTCTTGGAGGCTCCTGTTTATGAAAATTCTTATTATAGTTCAGCATAGAGTAGTAGAGAAAACCTGGACTGCAGAGTTAGCATACCCAAGTCCAAGTCCAGAGGTTTACCAGTCTTATGACCTTGGGCAAGTCACTGTATCCCCCCTCTCAATCTCAGTTTGTTCATCAGTACAATGGGGATAGGCAGCTAGGTAATGCAGGGGAGAGAGAGCCAGACCTGGAGACAGGAAGACCTGAGTTCAAATTTGACCACAGATGCTTACTAAATGTGTGACCCCGGGCAAGTCACTTAGCCCCAAATGCCTAAAAAAAAAAGAAAGATGGGCTTCAAGCTAAGCCCTGAAGGAAGCCAGGAGTCCTGGTCTCTTAGGCTTAGTCTCTAGTTTCCCTCCAAGCTCAGGCTAAGGCCACCCTTCCAGCTTAAGGGCCTCTCTTTCCCTCCTACCAAACTACCTTGTATTTATTTTATGTGCACTTTGCATAGAATTGTTTCTATGCCCAGTTACTTCCCCCAATAGAATTGAGTTCCCGGAGGGAGGCAATGACTGTTTTTGTTTTTGCTTTTGTGTCCCCAGCACAGCACTGGGCCCACAGGAGGGTCACTTGATATGCTTGTTAACTGTTCTGTGAAACATATGCTACTGTTAATATTGCTGGGCGTTGTTTTTCTCTAAGCTTTTTTGGGAAGATGCTGCTTCTCTGCCCTGAATTCACCATTCCCCAGGAATTAGAGGTTCATCCTAACAATCTCCTATTGAAAGCCCAAACATACTACAGAAAACAAAGCTGCCATGTCTGGCCACTTGGACAGCATGGGACTTTTCCATGGAGGACCCAGGGGCCACATTTTATGTAGCCATGGTTGGGTTCAGCTTTGTCTTCATGGTGCCTCAATCTTGCATTCTCCAGAGGGTACAATATATGTGCATAAGCAGATACGGAGAGGGACTAAAGCTGGGATGTCTTTGATCAGCTCGGCACCTTCTTGGACTAGAGTTCTGTGATGTGGCCAGGATCACGCAGTTAGTGTCTGAGCTGGGGCTTGAGCCCAAGTCTTCCTGGCTGAGAGGCTATGACACTGCAAAGTAATTTGGGAGTTGGGGAAAGCACTAACAACTTGGGGGAGAAGAGGGTCAGGAAGCATCAGAATTGGTGCTGGAGATGAGTAGAAGGGGCTGGAACAAGATTGAGAGAAGTAGACTAACTTTAAAACAAACCCATTTCTCTCTTTAAGTTTGGGGACATGGGATTGGGAGGGAGATGAAATCTCTCCAGACCATTGTTCTCTTCTGTTTCTTGACTGTGAATAATTTGTTTTAATGGTTACTCGAGTTGGGGATTTCTCTCTTTTTGAAATAGATCGCTTTTCCTTCCTTATGAGAGAAAACCAAAAGAACCAGAAGAAATGAATGTCGAAGGCTTCTTCGGATCGATGAGGGGAAGCACCACTGATGACTGCACCAGAGATGATTTAGCTTTAGACAGATTTCTCAGGTAGCTCTCGTCTTAAATTTGCAAAAAGCCACGAAACCTTTCAGATCAGTATTTTGTACTTAATTACTTCAAAAGATTTGTGATTCCAGTGGTGTGAGGGTATCCCCTTTACCAGTACAGATGGCCACCCCTCCAAAATCCTAGTAGTCTGGCTCCTGACTTGCTGTGGTTTTAAGAAGCAAGCCAATCTCTTGAACCTCTGGAGCTGAGCCTTTCGGAGCTGATCAGCTCTACCTCCAAGGAAGGCAGATTGTTCCAGAGCCAAATACTTTTACAACTTGAACCCTGGAATAGATAGATGAGAGGTATTCAACCAGAGGTGATTTCTCCCTCACCTGATTTGAATATTTTAATTGTTTAGTGTTTACCTAAGTATGTCTTATATGCACCTGTTGTTTCTAAGTGACTTGTGGACTGATATCTGTGCCTGTGTCTAAGGAGTGGGAACTTGCTAAAAGTTTGTGAAATTGAGTGACAATTAATCTTGTTACCCCTTATGATTAACATGTGATTTATGAATTTATGATTAAGTAACACTTAACAGTATGGATCACCTCACTATTGTCATCAACACCTCCCATTCCCCAACAGAATCTTAGACTGACCTTCAGTGGAGTGGGCCTGGCAGCTCCTTGTCCTCCGGACTTCACCTGAACCCCTTCTCAGCTGCCACCTCAACCCTTCTTCCCTAGGAAGCCAGCTGGTCTGGGCCTCAGAAGGCACACGGGCCCTCTCCTAATGCCCTGCTGAGGGCCGTTGTTGAGGAGAGAGCAGTGATGTCTGGTGACCAAAGCTTCTCTGCCTCTCGTTGGGGCCCTCAGCAGAGGAGACCTCTTCCTTTTTATAGGTGAAGAATCGGAAGCTCAGGGGGTCCTAGAACCTTCCCTGAGATCCCACAGGTTTAGTGGCAGAGCTGGGATCCATACTCTGGTCCTTTAACCTCAGACCCGGAGGATCCCAGCTCAGGAGCTGGAAAGAACCTACAAGGCTATTTAATCCAACTCTTTACCACGGCTGAGAAAAGGGAGGCCCAGAGAAGGGAGGAGTTTGATCCATCCCAGAGCTGGTAAGTGCTGGAGGTGGGATTGAATCCCCAGCCTGCCCCTACACTCTCTGAGGAACATCCTGGGCTGCCAGGAAGCCCATAGGAGCCCCAATCAGTCAGCGGCATGTCGGCATCACTAAGTCCCCAGACGTTTGCACTGGCTGCAAATGCCATGCTCTTCCTCCTCGCCTCTGCCTTCTGGCTGTCTCCAGCTCTCTGCCGAAGCCCCTCTTTCTGCAAGGAGTCTTTCCAGGTTCTTCTCAATCCTAGTGCCTTCTCTCTGAGACGATCCCCAGCTTACAGCTTGTTTGTGTTTAGCTGTTTGCGTGCTGTCTTCCCTTAGACTGGGAGCTCCTTGAGGGGCAGGCACCGTTTGTCTGTCTTTTGCCTTTCTTTTTATTTCCTGAGCTCAGCACAGTGCCTGGATCATAATAGGTGCTTAATAAAAGCCAACTGACTGACTGACTCATCTGCCTTCCAAGATTCTCCCCAGCAGAGCCTCTCTGGCCAAGGGCATTACAGCCTATGGAATCACGCTCTCCGGGGCCTCAGGAGACAGCCCAAATGCTGTTGTGCTACTGGAGATGTTGGTGAGATGTGCAGGATGGGTATCCAGGTAGCATCCAGCCTCTCCCACCGGCAGCCAGGCCCTTCCCACACTGGGACACTCGTGACTTAGCTGGTCCCAGTCTGAAGGCAGGGGAGGCTGGCACTCTGCTCCAGGCCAGCTTAGGAAGGAGGAGATTGGATACAGTAGCCGCCCCTCTCCCGCTTCCCCTCCCCCCCAGCAGTGGACTTGCTGCATTGTTGCCACTTGGCCAGAAGATGAAGCCTGAACCACCTCTGTGTTCATCATACATACGCAACTCAGGCCAAAACACAAAATGTTGCTTCAGCTGTTAGCAGTTAATACTAGTTTGCTTGGAAATATTCTTGGCTCGTGGGCTCAATATGGCACTGTTCAGAGAGAGGGTTTACTTCTTCTCTGTCTTGTGATTGGGGTAAGCAGGCACCCCGATCCCCTGCCCAATTTACTGTCCTCTAAGGGGCTGGGGTTCGGGGGAGGGAGACAGAGAAGAGAGGAGAGGGGGCATGATGGGGTGGGGTAAAAGGTAGTTTCCAGGAAAATTCAGCCTTGGCCCCCATTCTGTTAGCAAGGTCTCCAGATATCCCTCAGGCTGGGGGTAAGTAGAAGGAGGCTGACCTACTGGGGCTGACCTAGCGTTCCTTTGTCCCCTGATTTTTAATTGGATTGAGTTAGTAAAATTCTCAAAGGATTGAAGCAAGTAATATTTTTATTGGTAAATAAGGCAAGAGTTCCTTCTGAGGGAAGCTGAGAGGCTGACCACTTCTGGGGAGATGCTGGAAAAGGGTTTTCTGGTCAGTTATGGGTTGGAGTGGATGGCCCTCTTCCAATTGGAGAGGCTGGGATTCTGGTCTCTTTCAAAGAACTCGCTTCCATTGTTGGAGTATTTTTTTTTCTTAGCTCGGGCATGGTCTCCTTAATAAAATGCTTGTTACTTAAATAGTTCTAGAATTTTAACTTAAGGGAGAGGGTAATTCTGGGGCACAGCGGGGAAGCCCCTATCTACAGCCCTCTGGGGACGAGGGAGGGGGCCAGAAACAGAATGTCCCAACCCCCTCCCCCCAAGTCAGGATTTCCTGCAGTAGGAATGGGGGGGGGTTGCTGTGGGGCCAAACCAGGCAGCAGGGGGACAGAGAGGGGTCGCTCCTACGGTTCTGAATCACCAGGAAAGGGAACGGGCCAAAGAGGAGAGGAGCGGAGGGGTGGGGAGGGGGAGGCGGGAGAAAAACCCAATCACTTCCCACACTGGCTTTTAGGAACCTGCGCCTGTGTCCAGAAGAGGAAGCGGTCCAGCAGATACATGCCTAGGAGGCTGGGGGGGGGAGGGGGGTGAGGAGAACCCGACAACAAAACTTGTGTTGACGAAGCGGGAGCCTTGAGTTGAATGGAAGGAGCCAGTGTCCAAGGAGCTCAGCGCAGAACCCCGGGAGAGTCGTAGCAAGCGGGCCGACGCCGCAGGTAGGTACGGCCGGCGGTCCTGGAGGGGCGATCGGGGACCAGGAAGGGGGAGGCGGCGAGGGATTCCCCTCCAGCCCTGCCAGCTACGGCTGGGAGAAGGGGGGAGAAGGGGGAAAGCCGGGCTGCTTCCTCTCCCTCGTTGAAGGCTCGGGCTGGGCTGGGGTATGGAAGTGGGGTGCAGCGCCACAGAAGTCCACGACCAGCCCCACTCCGCCCCGCCTCACACGGCCCTGCCCTGTCCTCGAGAGGGCTGGGGTCCCCCGCTCAGGTTCTTGGGCTCCGCCGCTCTCTCCACCCCACCTCACCCTACCTCACCCCACCCCACCCCCAGTCTCAGGCGGGGATTTGGAAAATTCTCGTCGCGGCTTCCCTGAGGCAAAGGGGCAGCCGGGCTGTCTCCTCCGCCCGGAGGGAGGTTAGTCCTTCCCTTGTCCGCTGCCCCCCCCCCCGGCGCACATCTGGGAAGGATCGGCTTGGAGGACGGATTGGGGCGGGGAGCTGTGCGTGGGGCTGGGGCTGGGGACCTAGCGGGCCAGACAGACACCTTTGCGGGGGCCGGGGGGCCGGAGCCGCGTGAGTTGAGGCTCGATTCGCTCCTTCTCCAGCCTCGTAGCCTGACCCCGGACCCGGGCGCGCACCGACACTCTAGGGCGCAGCCACTAGCAACCTCCGAGGCAGGGCTCTCGCTCTAGCCTGGCGTCCCAAGTCAGCCGGGCTCTCCCTCTGCCCCTGGGCGGACAGATGTTGGTGGAGAGGCAGATAGAGAGAAGGGGCAGGGGTTAATGAAGCTGATTGGATTGGACCATAAACCCCGTCTGCAGTCTGGTTGGAGTGTGTCAGAGATGAAATCGGGTGGAAAGAGCTCGGGTCTTGGAGCTGAAAGGTCTGGCGGCTAGCCCTGGCACACTCGCTCTTTCTAGTGTGTGTGTGTGTGTGTGTGTGTGTGTGTGTGTGTGTGTGTGTGTGTGTGTGGCTGTGGGCAAATCAGAGGGTCGCAGGATACTGGGTCTAGGGCGGGAAGGAACGTCAGAGGAAACTGAGGTCCAAGAGAGAACAGCCGTCTTGCCCGGAGTTACACAGCTAGTAAGTGGAAGAGCTGGGATATGAACCTGCTTTCTTTAACGATTCATCGATCTTTTTACTGGACCACACTGTCTATTCACTTCTGGCCTCAGTTTCCTCATCTGTAAAATGGGTCCTTGTAAGATTTGTAAGTCTTAATGTGCTCTAGAAATGTGCATTATTTTATTCCCCCCCCCCAGGTCCTCACCCCCATTTGATCTTTGTCTTTAACCCCCTACTTCAGTGAGTCATAGCATGGGAGGTCTGGAAGGGACCTAAGAAGTCATCCACTCTGCAACATCCCCAAAAGCTCGTCCAGCCTCCGCTTGAATACCTGTGGGGTTGAGGAGCTCACTTCCTATGGAGGCATCCTTTTCCCCTTTTGGACAGCCTGGATGATACACAAGTTCTTCATTCTATTCTGGCAAAATCTGCTTCTCGGTCACTTCCTTCCCCCAAATCCATCTTTCTCAGGACTTCTTGAATTCGGCCCAGCACTCTATCCAGTGCACCACTTAGCTGCCCCATCTGACACTTGCTTGGTAGGCACTTAAAAATGCTTGTGGGTGATGGCCCCTGTGAAACAGACCACATCTTTGCCTTTCTAAAGTGCAGGCTAATTTTCTGGCTCAGCTGATGTCTGATCTCCATCAACAGCAAATACCTGGTGAAAACCTCCCTTTTGGCCACATATCCAGAGTCACAAAATTGGGGAGAGATCAAGTCTAGCCCCCCTTTAGAGACTGTGGCTTCCAACAACTGAATTTAGTTTTACAAATGAGGAAACCGAGTCTCAGAGAAACAGTACCTTACCCAAGAGTCAGTGGCAGTCACCCACAGCATTGTAGCATGTGTCCTTCCAAACACTCGCTTGCTGTGTCTGTGTGTGTCCCACATGAATGTTTGACATAACAGATGGCCCCCTCAGGCCCGTCCCCCCAGATCTCCTGTTCAAGCTGACGCCAGTCCCAGAGAAGTCCAGTTACTTTAGCTTAGCTTAGGTGCTCTAGGGCCCTCACCAGGCTTTCTCTAAGTGTTAACCCTGCCCTTTACTTTCATGCCCCTTAGAGACAAAGAACACAGAAAGCTAATAGTAATATTAACTAGCATTTATATAGGCACCTTCAGGTTTTCAAAGTGGCTTCACAAATAACCTCCTTTGATCCTCACAACTACCTTGAGAGGTAGATGCTATTATCATTCCCATCTTACAGATGAAAAAACTAAGGTGTACAGAAGGTGTCACACAGCAGTTAAATGCGTAAGGCAGGATTTGCACTCATGTCTTCCTGACTCAAGCCCTACCATTCTATCCACTGCACCACCTAGATGCTTCTTTTCTGTTAAAAGAAGGTGTGTTTTTCACAGGGACATTCTGGAGACAACACTCCAGCCTTTGCTGTGCAGGGATTGTTGAGCCTTCATGTGCTCACAGGCTCTCAAGAGTTGGAAGGTTCACACTCCCTCCCAGGCCAGCCCATTACCCTCCCCGCCTCCCCCATTTAATCATGTTTTATTTTTTCCAATTACATGCCTATTGCACTTTTGAAAAGCTGTAATTGTTAGGAAGTTTTTTCTCCCACCAAGCCTGAATCTGCCTGTCTGAAGCTTCTGTAGCTTCTAGGCAGCAAGGTGTCCAAGCTGATAGAGCGCAAGACTGTGAGTCAGAAAGGTGGGAGTTCAAACATGCCTCAGACACTTCTAGCTGTGTAACCCTGGGCCAGTCACTTAACTGCTGTTTGCCTCAGTTTCCTCATCTGTAAAATGGAGTACTAATACATAATGCCTACTGTGAGGGTCAAATGAGGCAATATTTGTAAAGTTCTTTACAAACCTTAAAGTGTGCTATAAATGCTAACTATTATTATTATCATCTCTGTATTCTGGGTCAAGTCCAATCTTTCTTCTGCTTCATAGCCTTTCGAACTCTTGAAGACCGGCATCAGCTTTATAACAGGAAGGGAAGCTGACTGGATCGTAAGACCAGAAGTATCAAGCTCAAGTCAAAATGGGACCACTGACATGCACAGAAGGTTCCTGCGGGCCAGTGACTTAGTGTTAAAATGAAACGTCATCTCTGTTGTGTTGTTTTTATTTCTTTTGTTAACTATTTCCCAAGGGTCAGAGTGGGGGCGTCTTTGACACCCCTGGCGCAGACTATAGGGACTGTTGTGAAGGGACACAAGAGCGTCAGAGCCCATTGGATCTGGGAGGACCTTAGGAATGGCCTGGAGATGGTGTGGAGTAGTGCAAAGGATTCTGGACCCCAGGGCAGAGACCTGGGTTCATTTCTCAGCATTGTCACTTGCTGACCATATGACCTTGGGCAAGTCACAGCCTTCCTGGGCCTTAGTTTATTCATTTGTAACACAAAGGCATTGACCTTGGACAGTACCTGAAGGTTCCTTTTAGTTTTAAATTCTGTGAATTTTATGTACCCCTTTATTTTATAGGAGATAAACCTGACACCCAGAGGGGTCGTGACTTATCTGAGATCTCTCAGGTAATAAGCAGAAAGGCAGGACCTGAATCCACGTAAGGGCGGCTTCGGCTTCGTGGTAAAGGTCATGGAAAGGGTGCTGGGCTTGGGCCAGGGTGTTTGACTTTGGAGCCTGACTTGTGGTCTTGGGGAGATCCCTCAGCCTCTTGGCATTTCAGGTTCCTCATTTGTGTCAGACAGGACCAGATAACTCCTAAAGGCCCCTCCAGCTCTGACCTTGTGATAAATGTGTAGTATGTGTCCCTCAGGCCACTGCTTCTGCTGATTCATTAGTCCTTGCTGCTCCCAAATTAAGTAGAAGGCTTTGCAGCATCACTTAATCATTTTCGTGGCCAGAAGCAGGCTCCCTAAAATCCCACATGTTGGATTGGACCCACCAACGTTCTGTTTACCCCACCAGTAAGAGATGCATCTGAGCATTCGCTAAGCACTGGGCCCCCATGACAAATGAATGAAATGCATGAACGAATGAAGGTCTAGACTAGGATGACACTCGGAGGAGGAGGAGCAGGATGGCCCAGAAGGGACCCTTGAACAGAGTGACCACGGTGGTGAGCTGATCTGTGGGCAGGTGATTAACATATCCTTGCCAGAGGCTTCACTGGATTTCAGTCCTGTGCCCAGCATATGACGGTCCATTCTTGACACTCACGAGACTGATTTTCACTCTGACTTAGTCACCTCCAGTGGTTCCCAGGAACTTCCAGGATCAAATAGAAATTCCTTTGTTTAGCTTTTCAAGCCTTTCAGAACCCAGCCCCGACCTCTTCACAGCCTCCTGGACATGATTCCTCCCTCCTCCAGCTCACTGCTCCTTCCTGACACGTGACGCCTCATCTCCTGTGTGGGCCTTTGGGCCAAGCATGCCTGATTTGCCTGGAATGCCCTCCCTTCTTCCCTCTGCCTCATAGAATCCCTGTATCTTCAAAAACTACCATCTACAAGGACTACCAGCTTCAGGAAGCCTTTCCCAATGCCTTCAGCTCCTAACTCTCTCTTAATTATGTGTAATTATTTTCTATTCTGCAGTTACTTACATAAGGGTAGTGGTTTACCTTTCTTAATCACAGAAGGCTCTGACAGCTAGATCGAATCAACCAAGGACATAAATGAGGTACAAGCAATCAATCTGAGAGGAGTGATGCTAGCTGACAGCACACAAGAAATGTCTTATTATTGGCCCTGCTCTGGTCCTCTGTAGGACCCAGAAAGCTGGTGGAACATCCAGGACCCCAGTAGCTGTGGCCAAGGTCAGTGGTGAATGGACTTCAGAGAGGGGAGTACCCTGAGGGGAGGAAGGATGGAGTTTCTAAGCCTCTGAAGGGGAGTTCCCATCGACCTCAGCAGCTGCAGGGGCCAGGACTGCCTGGCCTAGGAGACACTGAGGTCCAACTGAGGAAAATAAAGCAGCATCCGAACATTGCAAGATTCTTCCTTT